ACTTTCTTGCTGAGAAATTCATAGAATAACATATTCCAATTTTCATCATTTGGTGTTCAGAAGAAAGCGCCCAAGTCTTAAGGCCAGTCAAAATAGGGTGTCTACATACACATAACACATATCTCAAAGTTTCCAAAGGTCTATTTAGTTTATGAGCAAATATTATAGAAACAAAAGAATGTGTACCCTGAATCGATCAATACATAAGTGTTTTGGCCACAAATAGAAAGTGTACCTAAAAACAACAATCTCTGTATTCTGGGTGTCCCCTAGAATGAGTGCAAAAACCCTTCATTGCCTTGGGTTATCTTTCATTGCAGTTGGTGTTACGTTAGCCCTCACTATCAATACTGCCCTAGTTGAACTTGTAGCACCTCGATTACTACCTTAACGTGGTTGTGGACATTCCCTTACCATGTGTCCCACCTTTCCACATTGAAAACAAGCCCCCGTAGTCCGATAACACACATCGATGATTCTTTCCACAATCTGGACATGTAGGTGCTGAGTTACCACTTTGATTTGAGTTGCTGAACTTTCTCGATTTTGCCTTCTTATTCATTGACGATGTGGCCCCTTTGTTTATATTCAAATTTTCTGTCTTACCCCTCCATTCAAAATTCCGGTTATAAGCGGCCATGTTTGCTTCTGACATTAGTGCCCTATCCAAAACATCAACATACTCAGCAGCTTTAGTACATTGATCCTCTCTAGAATTGAATCATGAAGGCCTCCCTTAAATTTTCTAGCCTTCTTGTAATCCGTGTCGACTATATGTGGCACAAAACGTGCCAATTTAGTAAATTGAGCCTCATATTCTGTCATTGTTTTGTTTTCCTGCTTCAACCTCTCAAATTCAGATACCTTTCTATCCCAGATACACTGTGGAAAGTATTTCTCACAGAAGATTTCTAGAAACTGAGCCCATCCAATTTCCTTGTTATCATCCCGAATCAACATCCACCATCTTCTCGTCTTATCCTCTAAAGTGAATGCAGCCAACGGAACTTTCTGTGTTTCCGTACATTGAAACACTTCAAACAACTTTTCAATCCCCAAGACCCAAGCTTCAGCCTTAAGTGGTTCTACTTCCCTATAGAACAAGGGTGGCGTCATCTTTTTGAATTCTTTGGTGAGTGTGATAGTTCAGTCATCTACTTGTGGTCTTGTACCGATGGTGGTATGGGCATTGGAGGTGTGAGTGGCGGTTGTTACTATTGCCATTGTCGTTGTTGTCTTAGACTTTCGACCATATCATGCATCATTCTTTCTATTTGGTTAATTCGGGTGGAGGTAGACTCCTCTAGTTCATCTGCTCTTATTCTTACCATGGTCTATGTGAACTTGGTATTATAATAAATACAAATATATGCACACTTATGTACACTTATGCACATACACAATTACAAAAATCATTTCATTCTTGCACTAAAATGCATATGAATACAATCCTTAAGTCTTTTCTAGACACCTTATTGCTCAAATGGACAAGTGAGTGACATAATAACTCGTGCTCTGATTCCAATCTGTCACGACCCAAATCCGCCTCTATAGGTTTAACCTTAAAGAACAAAACAAATAATCAATAATTAATAACAAAGCTTAGTGGAAGCAATAATAAAATATAATTATGTCTATTGAGCGGTGCATACGCGGCAAATTTTAAAAAATGTTGCATATTTATTTATTTATTTATTTTAATCATTTTTTGTTGATTGACTCACTACTTTTTGGTATAGTGGAACTGTGATTCCAATCTGAACTAACTCAAGCTATATTGGGTTTGGGTTGATTTGGTTCGGTTCCAATGCATGATTAGTTCGGTTCTCAATCAAAAAATTTAAAATGACCATAATTAGTTTTATTCTAAATTTAGTTCTAATTCGAACGAAAGCCACCCATACACACTCCTAATCTCTCTACATATCTATTTGACAACAGCTAAAAAATTTAATTTTTTTTTTAAAAACTTTTTTCATTTAGCAATTTTTTTTAAAAAAAAAAATTTGTCAAACTATTATTTTTTAGCTCAGTTTAGCCTAGATGGATTTTAAAAAATTAATTTTTAAGAATCCAAAAAAAGAAAAAAAGATCAGTCTAAATACCAAAACGCAAAAAAGATAACTTCTAGTTTTGTTTTGCTTAAGTGGATTTTAAAATATATATATTTTTAAACTTTTTAAGTTGGTCTAATATAAGCTGGTAAGAATGCAAAAAAAACAAGAGTTCAAGGATTGCTGCATATTAATGTGTGTTTGATGGCTGAAGAGTTCAACTTGAATGGTATTGTTGTAGATCATTTGACGAATTCACAATGACAAGTTTTGTCTATGAATAGATTATGTATTTCAGTGTTTTAGAATATGGCAGTTGAGAAGAAAGAATAAGAGAGTGAGAGAATATGAGAGTTTGAGATAGGGTTTTTCTCTCGTACGTTATGCCTTTGAGGTAGTGTTTTTCTCCCGTTATGCCTTACTCCCACCAACAATACTATCAAAAGAAAGGAAAATGTAATCTCAATCTAACTAGAAGTGTACAAAATTTAAATACCCAGTAAACTGAAGAACCAAATTAACATGACCTCTTCGGATTGAATTGATTCGATTTAGTTTGATTCTAAGTTTTAAAATTTTCAGTTTGATAAGATTGGATTGAATTTTGATTTAGGCTATGACTCAACTGAATCCAAACACATATATATTACATAAAATTTGGTATGTCCACATATAGAACTAATTAGAATTCATTTCCTACATTCATCTAGTCAACATAGAAACTAAATAATTTATTTAAATTTTTTGACATTGGCTCGATAACAATTAACATAATATGGGTATTTATTGAGATAAATTATCAATAGATTTTAATAGTTGAACTTAATTTCCATTAAATCCTATTTCCTTGTCATTGAAAGTTGGACTTATCAGAATCGTCGCAAAAAATGATTTCTTGTGATGATTTTTTAAATCTGTTGCTAAAAACTGACAATTAATGATGTTTTCTGTGACGATTTTCTAAATATGTCATTAAAAATTAATCGACAAGATGTTTTCCTGTGACGATTGTCTAATTTGTCGCTAAAAATTAACAATGGTCTTGGAAAAAATAGTTTTTTTCTTAAACTTTGGTCTATTTTTTAACTAGGACCCATGTGCTGAGGTCGGCGGGTATTGATGGTAACGCGTTCTATGTCGCGTTGTGATTCGCGTAGTATATTTGGTTGTTCAAAACCATTATCGAGTGAATGAAAACTTGATGCCAAAGTAAGCTCCATGAAAATTTTGTTTTGGTGGGTTTCCCAAATTGAAGGAAGGAAAGTTTATCCCACATTGTTTGGCTAGGCTAACATTATGTGGATTTATAAGCTTTGAGTTTGGACCTTGAGGTAAGCCTCAAGGGGCACTCTCACGTTTTGTAGAGGGTGAGGTTATGGGCTAGATCCAAAAATAAACACACATGCGCCGTCCGAGCGGGCTAAGCGCATGTGTGTGGTATGAGGTTGGGCTTGTCTGGCCCTATATTTATCTTTTTAAGCAAAAAATATTTGAATTTTTTAAAATTAAATTTTGACCTTTTGGAATTTGAATTTCAGTTTAAAATTCAAACTTAATTTCGAAATGATCCCAACGTTGGCAGTTTGGTCCACTACAACAAAAGTAACCTATGGTGACGAAAAGTAGTGAAGAAAATAAATTTCGTCACTAAAAAAGAATAATCTGTGACAAATTATAAAATTTTGTCACATATAATAAAAAATAAAAATAATAGGTGATGAAATTTATTTTCGTCAACAAACATTTTTTTTTAGGTGAAGAAATATTAAGTTTCGTCACCAAAGGTTTTCCTGCTAATTCTTGTTTGGTGGCGCCAAAACTTTGAGACTTTTGGTGAGAAAAATTTTTGTCACAAATTATAAAATTATTAGTGAAGAATATATTTTCATCACTAATAATTTTATATATATATTTTTTGAAAACTTGATTTTAAATATTTGAAGAACATTTGGTGAGAAATATATTCTTGTCACTAATAATTTTTAATATTGTGAGACTTTTTAGTGAGGAAATTATTTTGTCACTAATTTTGAAAGGAAAATTTTGACATATTTGGTGGTAATGAAAAAAAATAGACTACTAACTTTTTCCTCTTTTTATTTTTATTTTTATTTTTTATATATCAGTTTTCCTATCTCCTCTCTCTCAAAACAAAACACAAGTTAATTAGCTCTCTAAATAACCTATGATGACGAAAGGTAGTGAATAAAATAAATTTCGATACTAAATAAGGATAATCCGTGACGAATTATAAAATTTTGTCACATATAATAAAAATGTAAAAATAATAGGTGACAAAATTTATTTTTGACAATAAATACTTCTTTTAGGTGAGAAAAAATTAAATTCGCCACCAAAGATTTTCCCTCTAATTTTTTTGGGTGGCGTCAAAATTTTGAGACTTTTGGTGAGAAAAAAAGTTGAACGTGACATGTGATTTGGCCTATGTCAATCTATGTTAAAATGTAAGTTTTTAATTTTGTTTATAAAAAATTAACACAATAATTACCTTTTGTGTCTTTACTCATAATAGTCAATTAAAAAATCAAAGTTATTATTGTACTTTATTAGCTAAAGTACGCATATGTATAATTATGGCTCACTTTAAGAACGTAAAATTTTAATTTAATCAATTTATATTATTAGCAAACTAATCTTTACATATATGTTATATATATATAAATATTTTTGCAGGGTTTACAGGATCTCCAGTCTCATGTTACCAAATTCAGAATTTATATGAATTTTTGTTTTACAGATTTTTTAGTTAAGATTAGTAAATATTATATTTTTTTAAAGATTTGTACATATACTTCATTTATCAAATACATTAATATCAACTGTTACATTGTACATAATTACTAATCATATGATTTATATGTATATTATTAATAAAAATAATATAAAAATAATATTATAATTCAAAAAGCGATTGCACATCGCATGTGCCCAGCCGTGATATACACATTGGTTGCATGTGCCAAAGTTAGATGCTCTCTCAATCGAAATCTAAAAAAACCCAATCAAAAAATTCTCTTCGATTCTCGAAATTCTCTGTTTCCTCGAATTCAAACCGTAGTTCTTCGTTCGAACATTCGAAGATCTATTGCAATTTAATAGTTTTTGTTGATCATCGATTGCGTGAAAGGGCTTCGAGAATGTTCAACGGAATGATGGATCCTAAATTGATGAGACTCGCCCAGGAGCAGATGAGTCGCATGTCACCCACTGAGATGGCCAGGATTCAACAACAGGTCACCATCTTTTGACCTCCTTTCTCTGTATTCGATTCAATTATGGTTGTAGATTCAAGAGTTTGGGAAAACCCATGTGCAATTGAATATAATTTTGATAAATTAAGTGTCTGATGTTTCTGGGTTTGTTAATATTTGCTATAATTTGGATATATATAGTTTTTTTTTTGGTTTATTTGGTTGTTGTTCAGGTTAGATTTGAAATTGGTTCAAATTGAAAGAGTAAAATCATGAATACTATCTTTCTTTTCCCTTTTTAGCGTTTCATATTGCAAACGAGTTGAGTCGATTCAAGTCGAGCGAGTAGTAGGTTGTCAAAGCTTGGTTTGAAAACTCAACAGGCATGAAAATATGTTCAAGCTTAATTTGTTTACCATTATAATCGATTTGGTTCAAATAGCTTATTTTTTTCATAGTGCATATAATGGAGTAGATTGACCAAGTTGTCACCATATTATTTTTTTTTTTCATAGGAAGACTCATTTTATGCAATTCTTGCCTCTTTGGTACTGCATACTTACGATAATACAATGCCCAATTTTGCTTAACCCTTTCGTCATGGCTTACCATTATCATGAATACCCCACATTGACTTGATTTATCTTGTTTATCCCTAAATTACGGATATAAAGCTGTCAGAACACTTGAAAAATTAAAGATGTAAACAAAAGCTCTACTAGTTGATACGGTGGTCACTTTATACCATGATTGTCATTATATGTCTTGCATTATTGCCAACATTGCAAATTTGACTAATTGATTAGGTTTAAACTGCTAAAAGAGTTACTTATTAGAAAATTACTCCTGCTTGCAAATACATACATGACGAAAACCAGAAAAGAAAAACTCAGTGTTAGCTATGGTTAGGTAGCTTATTTATTGATATTTAACCAATGCATATGGTAATCCAGCCTGAAAAAGGCATTTGAAAATTCGCTTTAAAGCCTCAAAATCCATCTCAATTAACTAGACAAGGTTTGTTGAGGGAATACCTGTCAGTGGTTGCAAACATTAGGTGCAAATATTGAGAAGTTTAAAGTTATTCATGTAGGTTTTCCTTGTTCTTGCCACTGTACCTGCACCAAATTCCTTCAAGAATATTATAGAGAGTTAATAGCATTAGTATAACACACATTTTCAGGCTCACAGCACTCAACCCACTATATCTGAACTCACATACCTCACTCTTGGTAAGCATCCTCCTGTACCTGCAGCTGTAACAGATATAGATATAAAGATTAGTACACCTCCCTGTAGAGCCTCTCATCACACAACCCTCAATTGGTAACTCACCAACACTCAACCCTCTGAAAGCTACACTCCACTCAATTTAAGAATGGTGGCTGGGAGCCTCCATTCTTGCTGAAACCAATCATCAGTGGGTGAATTCTTGATGTTCTTCAAGGCCAGACACCTGTATCTAACCATGCATATGATACTCTAAAGGACAACCTCTTCAGGCTTCCTTTCTTTATTGAACACCCTGTTATTTCTTTCCAACCAGATTTGATAAACAAAGCAGCAAAAGCCAAGTTTCTTAATAATGGTAGATAGAGATTTACCCTTGCAATCTCTAGCCACCATACCCACCCAATCATTCCAGCTATTACAAGTCCAGTTCACATTGCATTTCCCAAGGATAGCAGCCCAAATTTTAGAGGAAAAAGGGCATTGAAAAAACAAGTGGTTATGATCTTCCCTAATCTGCCCACACAGAGGGCGTGTGGGGGCAATGTTAATGCCAAATATAGTAAGCCTATCACCCGTATTGAGTTTACCAAGGATAGCCATCCACACAATAAAGCTAACTTCAAGTATGGAATGAGGGCCCCAGAGTAATCCAGCCCATTGATTCTTAGGCCACTTGGAAAGCCATTGCTGCCAGGCAGACCCAATACTAAACTTACCATCCTTATTAGGAGCCGAAATAACTTTGTCAACCCTCAACGGGGAAGGTGTCAAATCAGGGGGAGTGGTAGAGATGATCTCTTGTACCTCCCAAGAGGAATCATTGGGCCACTGCCACCCACTATCAGTCACAATAGACCTCACTTTAGAATTGCTATCAAGAGTAGTATCATAAATGAGCCTAGACACACACACACACACACACATAACAGTTAAAGAAAGAGAAGAGTAACTAACTAATAACCAACATCTAGAGCCAAGAGACATGTAAAGGCTTGGTAAATATATCAGCAACTTGGTCCAAAGAAGCAACATAAGAAACCACAATCCGTTTTGTGCAAACAAGAAAATTCAAGATTATGAGAAGAACGAAGAAGCTGCAGAGGTAGGAAAAAGTGAAGAAACAAGAAAATGGAAGAGCAAATATAACATGAGAGAAAACAACTTGAGAAAGGAAAAGCATCAACTTGAGAGTGGGGAACAAAGCTGCAGCTATACCTGTGAAGCCACATTTCAACCACTTTGTCCTAGCTAAAGAAGTCTTTTCTTGAGATCATGTGCTTTCTCACAACTTACATTCATATCTGTTGGTCTATCTCTTGTTCTCGAGGCTTCAACTTCTCCCTCTTAGTGGTGTTGTCCTTGCTATTTGACACAAACATTCAATTTCTGTTAGCCAACCAATCATATATTGTCTTCATTATGCTCAATTGGACTATATAAGAAGCAAAGGAGGAATATTTAGCAAACTTTATTTTTAGCTGGTGCTAGCTTGAGTTGCGTACCAAAGCACTCGTATTTTCATATTCTTTTCATATTTTTTTGTTTTTCTCCTTTTCTTTTTAGCTCATCAAAATTATGACTATCCTTGTTACATGATTCTATGAATTTTTAATAATACAGTCTTATGTTGTAATTCTTTCAGTTCAACTGAAAGTAGGCAAATATCCAGATATACAAAACTAGTTCAAAGAAGAGTTTTTTGGATTTTAAATTATATGATTTTGAATCATTATTTCAAATATCTCTAGAATTCTAAACCCTTTAATCCAAACACACTCTTAGCTTATTAGAGTGGTTTGTGACTGCATACGCCCCAGGAAAAAGTTTTCTTTGGGCCTCATAGATGTGCTCTTAAAGTTGTTATGGCTTCTGCTGCTTCCACTCAAAACTTAATGTATACTGCTTGTGAATTGTCTCTTGCTGACAAAAAGAAAATATTTGTGCAAATCTGTAAGCCATTTTACTTGTTCTTGCAGATTGGATTACTCTGTGCATACGTTATCAAAAAGTTGTACTTTGGCAGGTATGTAAATGCTGGTCTTTTGATTTGCCTCATTTTGTTCCACTGGAAAATCATGTTTTCATTTTTGCTTTATTTATTAATTTAATTGAGTCTCCAGAGGCAAGTGCTTTTGCATTATTATTATGCGAGTGACAAAATGAATGAATATAGCCCATTGTCGTGAATCAAATGTACCTCAATGCTACGTTATATTTTGGAGCTATTATATATATATATATATATATA